ATCAACGTCTCTGTAAAGTGTGGCTGATGGTGCTGTCCCCACTCGGCTCTTGGGGAGGGTTAACATACAAGGCCAAACAGTGCCTGGTAGGTGCTCAGTGAGTGGTAGCTCTTTAGAAGATTTAAAAGTAGGAATAAACCTTCTCTCAATGGAGGAATCTCAGGGCCAACAGGGATGTTTAACTTCTTTAAAGTCAACCCAGTATTACTGATCCCCTGCTATGAAGAATACTGTATGGGCCATAGGAAGAGATTAAGATATAGTCTAAGGAAGATCAATTGCTGTGCCAGGAATGGGGCAGGGCAGTGGGTGTGAGCACATACAAGAAACCATATTACAAGGCAGCCTGTTGTAAGTACTGGAATAAATTATAAACAAATTTCAGTGGGACTATAGGAGAGAGAATAATTACTTCAGGGGGCTAGGTTTAAGAGGTGGCACTAGAGAAAGAGCGAGAGAGAGAAAAAAGGCAGCTCTCTGGGCTGGAGGAGTAGCCCAAGTAGGATACAGAGAGGGCTGTGTGAATGGGAGTGTGGAGATAGCTACTGACCCAAATTGTTGCTTCCTAGGCAGCAGACTAGTAAGTGATATGATTGAGCCTGTTTTTTAACAGGCCGTCTTAGGGGAGTGGACTATCTTTAATACTACACATTTTTTGCATAGCGCTTCTAAATATACAAAGCATTCTCACATACACTTCTTCACTGAATCACTGCCCCACCCAGTGGTGCAGGTATTACTACCCCCATTTTACAGAAGAGGAAATTGAGACTTTGAGACCCAGAGCCAGGTCTTCCAATTCCATCTAAATGATCTGTTTATTACTCTTAACCTCAAGGCTTCTCTTTTGTGCTTTTTTTCTAAGCTTATCAGTTGGTATTGTGGGAATTTTCCCAGCTTGCCTGTGGAGGATCCTACCCTGGTGATGGGGGCAGTACTTAAAAGTTGTTCAGTTGACAGTACTTAATAGAGTATCAGAGCCAGAAAGTGTTGTAGAGAATGTTTCCAGCCTCCTTAATTTACCAATAAGAAAACTGAGACCAACAGAGGGGGCTGACCCGCCGATGTTCCCAGGGCTGGATCCACGAATGCTATTTGTGGTAAAACTACAACCAGGAGCACAGCCTCCTGGTTCTTCTGTCCACATCCCAAGGTCTCACAGTCTCTCTCAAGCACAACTTTCGCAGTCAAAGCAAAGAGGTAAGTTAAGGTCAGGACTTGGCCACTATCGGCTCCCATCCTGCACTGGTTTGATAAAACAGAAAGATCCTACTGATCATGAAACATTAGGTGGAAGGCAACTTGGAGGAAATCTGGGGCAATCCTTTGGTTCTGTAGGTGAGAAAACTGAGACCCAGAAAGGCAAACTGAGCCCCTACAGCAAGGACTTGAACCCAGGTGTCCTGGTCCCCAATCATTGACCCCACCTCCATGACCTCAGCTGTGCACACAGGGTCACATGCTGTTCATCCAGCTTGTCAGAGACAGTCTGACTTAGACATTTCCAGACACAGGTACCTGACTCAGCTCTGGCTCTGCCTCAGTGGTGGAGATCAGGCATCAGCTGCCAGCTTGGATGATGTGTTCTGGGAGCAACATGGTGAGTGTGAGTTGCCAACTTTGAAGTTTCAGGGAACGTAAAGTGTTGAGCTAGTTAAACATCCAAAAATGCCCTGTCTCTCAGAAACAGGGGTGATTCATCAGAGTGCTTGGGCTATGGCTGGGAAAGGCATTAGAGTGGCCACGGGGGCTACAAATCCATGCTCAGAAGCCTCTGGTTTCCATGCCTCCAGCCCTTGCTCACAGCTCTCCTCTCCAACCTAGAGCCAGCACACACTCCAGACCTCCTCCTCCCTGGAATCTTCCTTGGCTGTTCAAGCCCAGAGGATCTGCTCTGTACAGTTTGGCACTTGGTTTTATATTGTCTTTTATTGCTCCTTAACTGTTTTGAATGTTTGTTTTATAGCCCACATGGATTGCAAAGGCTCTGATGGGAGGAAGTAAGCTTCCTCCTCTGTACCCTATAGTGCATCTTGGAGAGTCACCAAAGAACAGAGACATGCTCGGGCTCACAGCTTCTCCTGACTTAAGACTCTTTCCTACATTGCATTTGCACATACAGCAAATGCTCAATAAATCCTCACTTGTTTCATTGTGGCTTCAGCCTTTTCAAAGACAGAGTTGAGCAGCCAGGGCCTCTGTCAGCCCACGCCAAGTCTCTGTGCAAACTAGAGAAAAGGCGCCCCTTCCTCCAGGCAGACACGGCCCTACCAGGCTGCACAGCTGAGCTACTGGAGCGTGGGTGGGAGATCAGGCCCTCAGCTGGGCGCCCTGCATGGTGAGCTGCCTGCGCCACTGGGCGCTGGCTGCTCATGAGGGCAGCAACAAGATGGCTCTCCGCACAGCCCTCTCCTCTCTCCATTCTGATGGGGAAGGCCTAAAGCGGGGAAGCTGGTATCAGGGGCTCCCCAGCTTGTTTCCCAGCCCCTTCTCTGTCAAAAACAAGCAAGAACAATAAAAAATGCACAGCTTTCAGTGGCTCCTCAATACTCTGAGCTTGAAGACTACACTGCTGGCAGGGCACTTGGGGTCCCTCTATAATATGGTCCCAACCTGCATTCCTTCTACTGGGAAGGCCCAGAACTCACCATGAGTTGTCATCCTTCTGTGCTTCTTCTTCCCCTTAGCTTCGAGTGCCCTTGTCCTGCTGATGTGTGTGTCAGATCCCCCTTGCCCTTTTGAATCGCATCCCCATCCTCCCCTCCTCCATGATGTCTCAATCAACACAACTGTTCTTCTTGGTGATTCCTGCCACCACAGCCTTCCCTGCCCTCCACACTGCTTTGACCTCTGTCACAACCCTTTTCCTACCTGTTATGAGCACGTAACCCAGTGGCCAGCTGTCTTTAAGCCTTCTGTCCACACAGGCTTCTCTGTACTCACCCTGTATCAACCCAGATGCTGAACTCAGCACCACCCTGAGTCTCCAAAGAAATCCACTCACAAACAAACTGGGGAACAATATAACCTTTACAAATGACTTATTTCATAGGAAGGGTGGAGAGCAGGGCCTTCATAGCTCACCCTACAGTAAACTATTTGCCAGTCTTGGCAAGCACTCTGTTCTCCAAATCCTTGCTTGGCAGCACCGTCCTGGGAGTTTCTCTCTTGTTACTCTTCCTCAGTGCCTCCCAGGCAAGTGGAATCTCCACACTCTATTTCTGCATGTCTTCCCACTCCTCTCATCCAACTTATTTCCTTCCTGTTCTAACAGGCAAAAGAACCCAATGTTACCCCAACCCCTACCTGCAAGCATGTATCCCCAAACCCATCGTGATGCCCAGACAAATATAAGCTCTCCCTCAGTTTCGGCTTCTTTCAAAGGAGTCAGGAATAGACAGAGCAAGAACGTTTTCCTTGTGACATGTGTGTGAGTGTGTTTTCCTCCATAGAGAATGTGATTTGCACTTAGCACAGTGAAAATATATCCAGTAAGCCTGTGAGCAGCCTTCCCCTCCACCACGGACTGGGGCAGTTCTAAGCCCTTTCTGTCTCTTTGTTCCTCTTTCTTCCCAAGTAAGGCCCAGGACTCAAGTCAGGGGAAAGTGCCTGAAGACATAGTAGGAACATAGTAGATACTCGTGAAATGAATGAGTCAGTGAGTGAAAGGGGAAAAAGAGAAGACAAAAGAAGACCTTTGAGAGCACCCTCACCAGGATGATTTCAGTCTAGCTGAAGGAAACTTCAAGAACCAACCCAGGCTGAAAGAATGAAGTATGGATGGTGAATGGCAGCATGAAGTGTGAACATGGGGTCCTGGTACTGGCTCTGCATTCATTGCCATGTGGAACCTTGGAGAAATCTCTGAGCCTCAGTTCCTTCTCTGTCCCATCAGCCTGCCTGCAGATGGCCCAACATGGACACTGACCATCAGTGTCCTCAGGGCTGTCTGACATTCATGACTGAGGCTTCTTCCCCAAATGCCCAGACACCCAGGGCCCCTTGGCGCCTCTGCATCTGCAGAAAGCTTTTCTTGGCTGCAGTCCTGACCTGGGGACCTTCACAGCCTGCTGGCGGAAAAGAATTCTCAGCTGTGGAAACTGGTAAACTCCACATATTTTACAGATGAGAGTCCAAACTCTAAATGTGGTGTGAAATGGACAGAAGTCATCCTGCTGGTGTGACATGCCTGAGAAAGTGTCACCATCACCACCCCATGTGGACATGCACGTCATGGAAAGAGAAGCAGCAATAAGTGATGGTGCCTTGTCCAATGTTACTTGTCGTCCCTTCCTTGCCCGTCACCCTGAGACCCTTTTCCGTGCTTATCTACGTTTTTAAAATAAGAAGTGGTCTGTTTGCTGTGCAGGAAAACAGTCCATGGTCACCTAAATGCAAAGGAGATGGAATTAACAACGTTCAGTCCTGAGACCTGATCCACGGGATCAGAGTCCAGCTCTGGCAGGCTACCACGGTCCCCACCGTACCTGGGGAGGGGGAAATCTTTTCAGATTGAACAGCCACCAATTTCCTGCCACCAGAGTCAGAGTTGTCAGAAATCTGACTCTGGGCAGGGACCGTGATTTCGATGCTAGAGACACTGAGTTCCCGGGAAGCAGAGACAACTTGTTGGTTTTTTATTTTTATTTTTTTCTCTGATTAGGTCGAGATAAGGGAGCCTAGGCCTGGTTGAGATGTGGAAATGCCCATGGGTATTTTATTTGTCAAAGAGTTTTCCTCCGTGCCCGGAGTCAGCTGGCCTCTGGCGCCCTACAGAGCCCACCACTGCTGCATCCTCTCTGAAACCCTAAGCCTCTAACTTCTCCTCCCAAACTGAAGCCCTAAAAGTGAACGATGCCTGTGGTCAAGTTGCACCAAAGGGCACGGGTTCCCACTGAGCCGATCCGCATCCATGTGTGTGCGTGCGTGTGCGCGCGCCCGTGTTCGTGTGTGGCGCGTGTGTATGCGCGCGCACGGGTGTGTGGCAGGGGCGGGCTCTGCGCCCGGGGGCAGGGCTCCGCGGTGAGAGTGGCAGCTAGACTTACCAAGCTGCTACGGGCAGGGCGCCGCAGTGCCGTAGTAGCGGGCAGCCGACACAGGCTGCTTTGGAGCCGCGGATTCCGGAGCAAGCGGAAGCCCCCAGGGCTGTCGGACCCCAACCGGGCCGCCCGAGCTCCGCGGCGCCGACTCGGGCTGCCATCCCCCTCCCTGAGAGGGCTGCGCGGGCGGGAAGACGCCCAGACGCCAGCTTCGGTCCCCCTTCTGTCTCTTGGTTCCTCTTTCCTCCCAAGTAAGGGAATAAGCCCCGAGGAAGGAGCGCTCCGGGAACCGCGCAACCAAGTGTTGCCTGGTGAGGTAAGACAGCTGCCGGCGCAGCCAAGAGGGTCTCGGGCTCGGGGGTGCGGGCTGCAGCAACTTGGGAAAGGAGGGCGGAGCGGGAACTAGTCCCGTGGCTAGGGGAAGGAGCTGCAGCCGGGGCCACTGCGCCCACCCTGACGGTGCCACCTGCCGCAAAGCCCCTGCAGGAGGAGATCCTCCCCTGGAAGGGCGAGGGCACGGGGAGCGGCACAGGGTGGGGCACCAGCTCCCTCTTCAATTGGGAGGACCTTCCGAATCTCGAAGGTGTGCGGGCGGGAGGCAGCTTTGCTCCAGGCAGTTTGTTGAAGCAACTGGTCAGATTTCTCCCCTTCTAGACTTACCTTGGCGACTTGTATCCAGTTCGCGCTCCGGTGCACAAGGGCGGCAAGGAGAGGGGGACACTTTTCTTAACGTCTGGTCGCCAAAGCCTGTGACCGTCCCGCGGGGCTCCAGGACTTTCGGGCACTCTACAAAGCCCCTGGGCTAGAGGAGCTTAAAGGGAAGCTGACGAGAACGCGGCCACCTTGACAAATACAAGCCAGGGAAGGAGAGGAGGGTCGGGGAGAGAATATAAAGCTGACCTGTTTGGTCTCAGAGTCGCAAGATGTGTGTCCGTGAGTGTGCGTGTTTGTGTCTTGAGGGGCGCGCATCTAATATCACCTGTGGGGTTTATGGAACACCACCAATCCACCTCACCCTGCATATTCTGAGAGTCTCTTCCTCTGGACGAGTGGACTAGAATTTGGGGAGGGGGCCTGTGGAGTTCGGAAAAAGCCCTACAGGTGATTCCGATGCGCCGTCCCCATCCCTGCCATCTCTGCAATGGAAGGCATGGGACAGGAGAGAGGAGGCGTCTCCCAAACGTAAGCGATCCAGCTGCAAAACTTAGAGTGGCGGGCAAGACCCTCCCCCGTCACCCATGCCCTCTCGCTCACCCTGCCCCGGCGCGGGGCGGGGGGAGGGGGGGGTCAGAATAGCGTGCAGGGATTTGTGGCTGCGCCGCAGTGGCGCGCGGGAGCGCTGCGAAGCCACGGACGCGCTCGCAGGCAGGGCGGCGAGGCTGTCTCCCCCGGCTTTATTAGCATACGATGACCTCGCTGTCCGGAGGAGGGCCTGGGACGGCTGCTTATCGTTTTTTCATTTCGCGGGCTGGGGGGAACGCAACTTGAGTCTGGAGATGTGGACCAGGGGCAGTCATTGATGAGGGCAGCGGTCCCGGGGCCGGGAACTGGCCCTCGGATTTGAACTGGAGGAACGATTTGGTTATTTCGGTGCCTGGGATTCTTTGTTTAAAATACTGCCGGCGGAGTTACTTGCTGGAGCACAGGGCACCCTCGTTGTCGATGAAGGACATTAAATCGTAGGAGGCAAATGTCATCGCTGTTTGGTCACGTACACACATATGTAAACACGCGGGCGCGCGCACACATACACCCCCCTACACCCCTCCGTACCCTTTGTGCTTTATGCCTCTCTCATCCAGGGATATGTCCTAACGTGCGAAGGGACTTCGCCATTTATCGTTAAAAAGGGCCGTATTTGCCCGAGAGTCTGGTTCTGAATATAAATTATACTCACTAAATAAAGTGGCTGCAACTAAGCTAACTTCCTTGTTGTACCCCTGGTCTGTCTTTTCTTTGCCAATCACCCTTAAAGCTTACGTATAGCACTGAGGAGTTATTACAGGCATTTTCCTAGGAGGAGTCTGGGGGTGAGGAGAAAGTATATGAGTCTTTCCCACCTTACAATTTTATGTCAGTGTTTGATTCAGATCAACCAACACATGGGGTTGATATAACATCAGAGCGTCCTGGAACCTAGACTCTCAGAGATAGGACAAACTCCTCAGGACATCCGTTCCAACTCGCGCCGCACAGCACCTTCAACAGGTGGCAGAGGATCCCGCCAACCGTGCACTCCCATCTGTGCACGTGCGGGGCTCTGCCAGGGGAAGAAGCCGTAAAGCAGCGGCCCTTCCCTCTCCTGCTGATCCCCGGAGGAGGCTGCTCCAGCTCCTCTCCTGGAAGGGAACGGGGAAGAGAGAAGGGAAGTGCCCTTTTGTTGTGGTAAAACTCTTTTTAAAAATATATCTTATTGTATTACATCATTATGATTTACTCTTTTTGTATAAAAGCGATTCATGTTGAATGCAGAAAATTTAGGAAGTTGAAAAGTTTGCAAAGAATCAAACAAACCGCCCACAATTCCACCACCCCCAATTCCACCCTGTTAATATAATATTGGCATATTTCCTTTCCGTCTATTTTTATGCCTTGAAATCTACAATCCATAACCAACATTTATTGAGTACCTAATAAATGCACTTTGCAGGTGTTAAGTATTTTATATTCACTGTATCACTTAATCCTCATAAGTCCTTCTGAGGCAAATATCATTACCAACCCCACTGAGTTCGGGTGACTTGTCCAAGTCACACAGCTGGCAAGTGGCACACAGCTGGTAAGCGACAGAGCTGGGATTCAAACACAGCCTGTCTGACTCCTAGGTGGTTGCTTAGCCTCTGTAGCTATTGCTTCTCTGCATTTTTTCTTCATTAGTATTGCAGCAAAACTCCTTCATGAACATCATTTTCATGGCTGCCTGCTGTTACAGTTAGTCATTGAAGTTGTTTCCTGTCTTTAGCAGCTACAAATAACTGCACAACATCCCTGAGAAAAGTCTTTGAGCACACATTTCCAAATACTTCCCTTGGATGGATTCCCAGAAGTAGAATTACTGGGCCAAAGGGCATGAATGTTTGAAGGCTCCTGATATATACGACAAGCCACTTTTCGAAAAGGCTACGCAATTTACACTTCTATCCACCAGAGACAACTCTGTCACAGTCAAAGCAGGTGACCTCCAGGGACTCAAATAGATGAGGGCCTCACAGGACCAAGCCGGACCCCTTGAGCATCCCCCTGGCCTCATGGGGGAAGGAATCACACATAGCATCCAGCTTTATATACGTAAGTGTGATTAAGGAAACCATGCAATATAAAGCTGTACCTGTTTTTATGTGAGCAAGTGTCAGTTGCAGAATTTTCTGGCTAGATGTCACATATTAACTCTGAACAAATCAAGCTATTGTGTAAAATGTATAAATGGGCATAACATCGTACTTCTCCACTCAAGTAAGTAGAACAGCCCCCACTCCTATGAACGCACATCGGCTACCACAGGCAGTTCGGCCAGCCCAACCAATCAGCAACTGCTTCTTCACATACTGACCTTATTCGCAGAGCTGTTTGTTCACACCAAGTATCAGAATTCCACAACCAAGCCACAGTGGGAGCTGGTGTCACCTTATATGTGACAGAGTTCATCAGCACCCCTGCCCACCAAAATCACTTGTGGTTAGTGACTACTAGTAAAACAATAAAAAGTAAGGTTATACGTATTATCAAAAGAATGTCCTCGGGTGAAGAAAATGTGGCCAGAGACGAGAAATTGAGTCAGGCAATACAAAAAGACACAAAGGGAAAATTTGCAAAGAAAACAAATTGACCCTAGCTGTGAGTTTTCCCTAGAGCCATGTTTGCCTCATAGCCACCTCTGCCACCAGCAGTGGGCTTAGTAGCCCTGGAATATAAGCTGTTATTGTAAATGGAATAAGTATCATTTGAGGCCCCACCATGAGATCCACTTATTCAAGACTCTGCTCGGGTCTTAAAACATCCTTCTGGGAAGTGCTGCACAACTGCTTATCTGGGTTAGAGACCTCTCTCAGCTGCACCTGTAGCATCTGTGCATACTCTTACCTCACCACGGTTGAAATCACTTATCAGCGTAGGCCCCGCTCTACTGTGAGCTCCCTGAAGCTACAGTTGGCACTGTACCCCAGCACCTGAGATAGTACGTATGCACAATCAGACACAGTGGACAATGCACAGTAGACAATTAAATGTGACGAACGAATAAGAGAATTGTCCAAGTACTGTCCTGGGTGCTTTATGTACATTTCTCTGTAGATGCATTTTTATCCTTCTCAAACTGGTCCATCTCAGAAATGTATCTGAAAGGTGTCCGGAGCTGTGCTGTCTATTTCCACGTGGGACTATTTCCATTTTCATTTAATTCATTAAAATTAAATAAAATTTAAAATTCAGTTCCTCAGTCCCACCGGTCGCATTTCTAGCAATGAAATGCCAAAAACAGCTTCTGGCTACCATATTGGAGAATGCACATGTAGAACATTTCTATCATTGCAGAAGGGGGGAGAAAGAAAGTGGAGGGATGGTGGTAATAAATGCAGTAGTAGCATTCGCTGTACTATTTATTAGGCACCTACTTTTTGGCCCATACTGTGCTGTATTTTGTACACACACCGTCTCACTTAATATTCACATCACTATGAGCCTGGTTTTAACTTTATTTCACAGATAAGGAAACTGAGTCTCAGAAAGTTTAAGTAAGTGGTTTCAAAGCTGGTAGAAGAGGCTGAGTTTTAACTCAGGCTCCTATGATTTCAAAGCATATTCACTTAGGCCTTTTTCTTTACTGACTCGATAAATGTCAAGTGTGGTAATGTCTATGCGAGTTGCCATCATCTTGGCTTCCCAGAAGTCAGGAAAAGGGTACTTTTGAAGGCTTCCCAAGGGAAATAATTGGTATAATTTGTGAATGTTAATGGCACATCAAGAATGTAAAATTTTGCCTGGGGGCTCAAGAGGCCTTGTCCCTGGATGGGTGAGGTAGCGAGAAAGAAACCCACTCATAGTGTGGCCAGAGCAGAGGGCCAAAACCTAGGAGAGCAGGCCAGCCAGGCACAGCCCTCCTCATGATGACAGGGAGGCCTGTCATCAGCTCCAGAGAGAAATACTAGTTTTGTTAGGATCTCATAGCCAATTAATGGCCTAACCTGGCTCCAACTCCCTGGCCAGTGCCCTTTCCACTGCTCCATCCTGCCTCATAGGCCATTGGCTCAAGCATCCTCACTATCATTATCACTCTTACCCAAGTTTTCTCTAATTTCTTTATTCTTAGTGAATAAAGCA